GTGAGACATATTTGCCAAATACTCCCTCCATTCAGAAATACATGGTGCGGCTAACTTCCAGGGGCAGAGGATAGTTGAGGCCATTGTGGGTTGTTGCCCTTCTTCCATTCAAAATTTTCTAATAAGTCATATGCTTCACATGGTTAGTTACCCCTGAACAATGTGTCAGCCTCCTATGGCCGGCCCCCTTTGGTACTTGCTCGGCTGTTCAAAGGCATCGTGCAACAAGTACAGCTAGCCCAATGGCATATCTATTGTCTGTGCTGACTGCTTAGTGCTGGCTAGTGGTTTCTTAAAAACAATTTAATTGTGTGGAATTGTAAAACTATGTGATTGCATAAACCTAGAAAAACAACTCATTGTTCTTGTCCTCAGCATTTGAGGCATTAAAAGGGGCAAGAAGGAAGCTGGCTTGCAAGTTACTGCATTGTGTGACTATCCGTGGAGGAAGAAGCATCTGCAGAACACACGGTAAAGCACTCAAGGTGGCCCAGCTGGCCAGCACAGGTGCGTTGATGGTGATGCTTGTTGCTCACTGGAAGTTTGAATTAGTTGTACAACTCTAAAACTTCGTATAATGATTTCTCATTTACCTTGCCCCCGTAAGATTTCCTTCAAGCTCGGCCACTTCTAACTTCCTTTACAGATGAATAATATATAAAACTAGTTTGATAATTTGATTGGTCTCATGAAATAGCACCATTCAGTGTTGGTGTGTCACGAGAATTACCCAACTCTCTCTCTCTCTCTCTCTCTCTCTCTCCCTCTCCCTCTCCCTCTCCCTCTCCCTCACCCTCACCTCTCTCTCCTCCCCCCCTGTCTCCCTCCCTCCCACTCTATCCCTCTCCTCCCCCCCTCTGTCTCCCTCCCTCCCTCCCTCCCTTCCCCTCTCAAGTTTGTTTCTCTCCAGCCAAGAATCCTTGGTCTCCATTTTGTGCACAACTCCTAGGGCGTGGGACTTAATCCCAAACTGAGGACTGAACCGAGCCGAACTAACTCCAGTGATTTGTGTTGGTGTTGGTTTCCAACCACGACATTGAACACCTGTACAAAACTGAGTTACCAGTCACTGCAGGTCAGCATCTCACCCTCGTCTGCAATCATTCCAATCTACAATTCAGCTTAGGCTTGCCCTCCCCACCGCCACGAGTCTAGAAATTTCTGTCATTCTATGATTGCCTTCTGTAGGATGGAATTCTATGATTTACCTCTTGCTTATTCCTAGTAAGTCCTCGACCCCAAGCTCTTTAAACATGCAATAGATTAAATTCTGTCACAAACAATGTAAAGCTTTCTGAAAGGTATTAAAGTGAGCCAGGAAAGGCTATTTTGATTTCCCAAAAGATTAGATATGAGTGACACAAATTTTCTCGTGTAAAAAAACGATCCCACTGGGATTTGAACCCAGCTTGCCAGGTTGAATGTCTGGAGTGATAACCACACACCCTTTCTCAATTCTTGGTGAGGAAAAAAAAACTATTTTCCATAATTTTTATGATGTACCTTGCTGCTTTGTTGAACGGTTTTAGGAAGAGCAGGTATTTTATTTGGATAGTAAAGAAGGAATGGATTTGAAGGAAGAAGCAATGTCCCTCTAATTTAATAATTTTCTTTTGTTAAATATTTCCTTTCCATGTCTGTATTGAGCTTGTGGTTGTAGTAGATGGTCTGTTAAGTAGCATGTCATTTTCTTGTCTTGGTGTGAAGTGGGATTGTGTTGCATCCGAACTGTTATCACATTTTGTAATATAGAGTTTGAAGCATAGTTATTGCAGTGCTACTTGATTTTCCTATTTTTAGTTCCATATTTCCATTACAAATTTTGAATGCTTCATGATTATGGGACTGCTGATGCCTCTCACTTTGCGTATTATATACCATGTTAACAAACTCTTTAAGAAATACAGTATAATGGCTTGAATGAGAATTATTGGTTGTACCCTCCATTCAGAAATACATGATGTGTTGAACTTGCTTTAGTTCTATCAGTAATACATTGAAAACTATTTGAATAATCACATGGAGATAGTACCATTTGACAGTCTGAGAATTGCTGTCTTAATATAATATTTTCTATACTTTTAACTAATGTACTGCTATACAAATTGATGATCATAATTGCTTATCAAAGACTATGTTGTCCACGAGCTAAATATTTGTGAACAAATTTGATTAATAAAAGGAATGTTGACTTTTTATTTATTTTTTAATATTGTTCATTTGAAGTCTGGTAGCATTTTGTCAGACTGCAGAATTTACTCGTACTTTACATTTCCTCAGTTATCCTTACTAAAATTTTTTGTTTGAATTTTGTCCTGATTTTGCACAGAAATAATGGTTTTAGTCTGGTCGTTCATTACAAAAATCTAAGATAGAAAATGGGCTAGCTTTTCCCAAGTTTCTGTCGACTACTCTTTTACTGTCCCGAAAATTATCTGTCAGTCTTGCTGTGGGAACTGAACATTTACAGTCTAATGTCTTAGCAAATTATCAGTAATGTACAGGCTTGATGGTGCTCTTGATTAGAAATACAGTATCATATTATGCAACCTGCCAGACCAACAAATCTTGTACCAACTATTGGTTCCCTTTTGATGTGGCTTACATGCACTTTTATTGTAGTGGTTTTGGTGGGTGCTCCAGCTAATTTATTGTTTTTTCCCCATGAAGGTATTGAGCTGAGTCAAATGGGAGTTGTACTGCTGTGGAGAGATGTGCTACTCAACTCCTGTGCAACTGATTGGGGATCCATGACCTACTGAAGGCACAAAGTTTGCGCAAACAAAACAGTTCCAGTTCATCCTATGAACATACTACGTTTTTTTTTTCCAGATTGGAGAACGCCCAGGGGCTTGGCAAACTGTGGTCTGTGGCTTTGAACTTTGCCAATTCGATACCTGATAGATCATTTTGAGACGAGTTAAGCCCCTGTTTGGAGTGCCAGAAACCAAAACAGATGTAGAAGGAACGAGGTGTAAGAGGAGAGAAGACCCAGCGCCTGATCATCGTTTATTCGTTTCTGAATCTATAGCCACTGGAATCAGTCTGCACCCGAATTGTAGCCCTATCTATTATCTAGAAACTGTAATGAACAACACTTAGCAAATAATTGAGAGATGCTGAATGGATTGTGAAAAGGATCTGCATCAAATCCCAGTAATTTCCGCTAATTCACTCTGTTGTGTTAGCTATCTTTCAGTGATGTTGCGACATTGTTAATATTGCTCTCATTGAGGGCAATATGCTGAACTGCTGGCTCAGCAAGCGGCAAAAAAACGTCTACGGTGCATCTCCAGCATTTCGATAAAACCACTTACAATCTCCTCTAACAACTATTTTAATTCCTAATCTATCCGCGCTCGTAAAAAATGGTGGTCTATCCGCGCTCGTAAGAATGGTGGTACCCATGCTCAAAGATACACGGACGACTGCGACTCCCTCCCTGTCTCCTTAGGTTGATTAATAATCGGACCAATCTTTAAATGGGCTATGCCTTAATGGGCCGGTGCTGGGCTCGGTCAGAAAGAAAGAAAAAGGAAAGGAAACCACGTTATCCTCTTTTCATAGACGGATACGGGACATACGGCCGGCTCAACACGCCCGAGGGCTGAGGGCTGAGCCTAACCGGCCTCCAGCCCGCTCCCGCTCCCGTCTTTTCTTTTGGCGACGAGCCGACGAGTCGACGACGGGCAACCGCCGCCGCCGCCCTAGGTCAGGCCGTCAGGTGCCCAGGTATCCGTCGGGCCCTTCTCCAGGCCCTTCCCCGTCGACAGCAACCACCAGGTATGCCAGCCCCTTCTCTTCCCTGTGGAACCGAGAACCCTAACTTAAGCTATTTGGCTATTTGTATTCGTAATATATCTGATCGAGTTGCAAGTGTATACTTCTATTATGCCTAACATCGTTTTGTTTGGCGATAGGTATCGGCTGAATCTGTAGGAAGGAACTGATATACAATAACTTCGTTTTGTTTGGCAATAGGTATCGGCTGAATCCGTAGGAAGGAACTGATATACAATAATTTCTTGTTTTATATGCAAACTAATTGACAGGGAATTGCTTGGTTTAGCACAACACAACGGCACATAGAAAATCTGATGTGGGTTTGATGGTGTTGTGGTTGAATTGCACATCGATGATTGGATTTGCCAACATTTTTGGTAGGCTGTAGCATAGCAGTGGACTACACAACGTGATCGAATAAAAAAAAAAAGAGTTACTTCCTGAAACAAAATACCCTGCACCAGCACTAATGTTGATTGATTTTGATAATATTATGAGAGATTAACTGTGTTGTCAAAGATCTTGTAGGCTTTATTTCTTCTTGCCTATTGTAGTAGCTACCCCAAATTCCGGTTCCATCTTATGTTGTCCAGCACACCAGATAGTTTAATAACAAGAGCTAAAGGATTTCCTTTTAGGCACATATGCTGACAAATCTGTTTGGTTCAGTGGGCAGCATTGCTAAATAACTTACAGTCGAACGGAAAGTGTACATTATGATGACTTGAATACTTTGTGCTTGGCATTACTGCTGATGACTTGAATTGTCAGAATCGTAGCTAATACGCTCAGAGATTGAACATTCTTGGGTAGTCTCAACCCAGTGTCATGATAATCAGAAGGGATGTGCTTCTGCAAGTTATGGGATTCTTTTTGTATAAACCATGCCATTAATTGCAAACGATGCTTAGATAGCTGAACAATAGGTTTTGTAATTTTGTCATTCTCAATTATATGTTAGCAGTTACATCTCTACATTTGTGTTTAGTTTGCAGTCTGTATGAAACTTTTTTGCTTTATATGTGTTATACACGCGCTATTCTGATCTCTTATTGTTTCTGTTAACACTGCAGGTATCAAATCAAACTTCTGCGCACTTATGGAGGCTTTAATTTCATGTTTAAAAAACATGGTAAGTTTACTCTATATATTATTATTATAGGGTTGTTGCATGTATGCAAATTTTAGTACAACCGATATTATGTGGCTTGAAGGAGATGGAAACCAGTCAGATGCCCAAGTCAGGGATTCATCAGAAGTTGGGACCGGAGATCAGTCAAAATCCCATGGAAAATCATGTTAACCCAGAAAAGGAAACTGATGAAACTCCAGTAGCTGAGGTTAACCAAGAGCCTGTGGAAACATGTCAGGGCGCAGTGGTGGAAACTGATATTATCCCAGAAAAGCAAGCTGTTCTAGAGGCAGGCTTAGAGGTTAATGAAGAACCTACGGAAACATGCCAGGAAACAGCTGCAGAATGTGATGTTAACCCAGAGAAGCGAACTTCTGATCCAAGTGTTATTTACCGCTGCAGAAAGTGCCGGAGAATGCTTGCAACACAAGAATTTGTTGTTACCCATGAAGTAGGTGCGGGTGGCAAGAGCTTCAGAGCAGGAAAACAGTCTAATGTGCATGAGGATGGCGAAAAACCAGAATGTCCATGCATCTTCGTGGAGCCCATGAAGGGGATGCAAACTGGTCAGTTTTCCAGCATGATGTTTTACCTCTTGTTTTTAGAGCATTGTCATGAAATCTCTGATGTTCTCATCTGCTCCATGTTTTATTTGCAGTGGAAGAAGGTTATGTTGCGAACAAGCTCTTTTGCATGGGATGCAAAGCTCGTCTAGGACAATTCTGTTAAGTAATCTGCTGCTCCCCTGTATGAACGCACGGCAGGGATAGGCGCCGAAAGGCTTCTTGCTGTTGCACTGTAGCTGCAGGGGCAGGCACCGAAAGGCTCCTCTGCCGCAATGTAGCCACAGCAGAGGCAGACGTCAAAGTCAGCCCTGCTGTCACATCTAGTCACTGTAGCAACATGGCAGCCATAGTGAGTGGTAGGGAACACAGGGGAGTGGTCGGCTCATCCGTTTCGAAGATTCAGGGGCCAACAAGTGGTATCAAAGCCATACAAGCGTCGTCGCCGGACTAACCGCTGGTGATGACGGACGGTTTGGATATGGGCGACAGCAGCGGCGCTGCTGTGGCTGCCCATCCACGACAGGAGGTTATCGTGCGCACAGTGTGGGAGGTCAGCGGCATCAGTTGGCCGACGGCTCTGGAATGCTATTGACAAGGGCACCGACAACAAAGAAGAAGACATGTCAGCGTTGGTGGTTATCCTCGTTGCTGTGCCAGCGGAGTACAGGAAGCCGTTAGGGGTGAAGAACTCTGCTAAGGAGGCGTGGAAGGCCATTGCAGCGATGCGCGTCGGTTCCGACTGCGTAAAGAAGGCGACGGCTCAGCTGCTGAAGCAGGAGTACGCCACCCTCAAGTTCAAGGATGGTGAATCGGTGGAGGATTTCTCCCTCCGCCTGCAGTCGCTCATCAACAAACTGAGGAGCCACGGCGTCACCATTGACGAAGAAGAGGTGGTCTCTAAGTACCTCCACTCCGTGCCGATGAAGTACATCCAGATCGCTCTTTCCATAGAGATGATGTTGGACTTGTCTACCCTCACCATTGAGGATGTGACAGGCCGTCTACAGGCAGTGGACGAGCGCATGGAGTAGGCCACAACAACGACGGACAGCGGCAAGTTGCTGCTAACAGAGGAGTGGGCTGCTCGGAGGAAGAAGTTTGGGGAAGCCTCCTCCAGCCGCGGTGGCGATGGCACGCCGCGGTAAGGCTTCTTCGGAGAAGAAGAAGAAGGTCGACCCCAACGTTTGTCGACGCTGCAGGAAGATGGGCCATTGGGCAAATGAGTGCCCAAATCGCAAGCAGGAGAAGAAGACTGATGCTCATTTAGCGTAGGCTGATGAGGATGATGAGGCCACTCTCCTGATGGCGACGTTCTGTGCACTGTACGACGTTGAGGTGATCAAGAAGTTCAAGGCGCGCGCGGAGGTGGAGAGCGGCAGAACCAGACGGTGGTCGGCATGGCTCGATCCATGATGAAGGCCAAGGTCATGCCGACAAGGTTCTGGGGTGAGGCGGTGACCACGGCGGTGTTCATCCTCAACCGCGCGCCCACCAATGCCTTGAAGGGTAAGACGTCGTTTGAAGCTTGGTATGGGCGCAAGCCGAGCGTGTCCTTCCTCTGGACATTTGGCTGCATCGGCCACGTCAGAAAGACGAAGCCGGTCCTCACCAAGCTGGAGGATAGGTGCTCCTGGGCTACGAGGAAGGTACCAAGACGTACCGGCTCTACGACCCACGCGGAGGCAAGGTGGTTTCTCGTGCGACGTCGTGTTCGACGAGAAGGCGGCATGGGATTGGGACAGTCCGGGCACGGGGGAAGCTGGCGGCATCACCAGCACCTTCGTTGTCGAGCACTTGGTCATCCACGGTGGTGGAGATGCTGGAGAGGAGGTGCCGACCACTCCAGCAACGGAGCCGAGCACTCCTGGGGTGGTGTCAAGCACTCCGGGAGGAGTGCCGAGCACTTCAGGAATAGTGCCGAGCGGTCCTGCAGTAGTGCCGACCACTCCAGGATGGGTGCCGAACGCTCCCGTAGCGGAGCCGAGAGGTCTTGCAGTGGTGCTGACCACTCCAAGACGGGTGCTGAGCACTCCTGCAGTGGTGCCGACCACTTCAGGAGTGGTGACGAGCGGTCCAGGAGTAGTGCCGAGCACTCCAGGTGCTGTGTCGGCCACTCCGGCGGAACAGGGAACTCCATCGACGCCGATCGAGTTCGCCTCACCTCCAAGCGACATCATTGAGTTCGTGGATGCCTTCCACGATGGTGAGGAGGTATGGTTCCACAGGCTGGACGACATCATCGGCAGCACAGGGCCCTCAGGCCTGGCGGGTCGGCTGCTCAATGACCCAGAGCTGCTTCTCGTCAGTGTAAAAGAACCATCCACGTTCGCGCTGGTCGAGCGCAATACAAATTGGCGACGAGCGATGCTAGAGGAGATGAAGACGATCGAGGAAAACGAGACTTGGGAGCTTGTTGATTCACCTTCAGGACGTCGTCCGATCAGCCTGAAGTGGGTGTACAAGGTCAAGCGGGACGAGCGCGGCGCCATTGTCAAGCACAAGACACGCCTCATCTTCCGAGACTTTGTTCAGCGCAAGGGCATCGACTTTGAGGAAGTCTTTGCGCCGGTAGCGCGCATGGAGTCTATCCGATTGTTGCTGGCTTTAGCAGCAGCAAAGGACTGGCGCGTCCATCATTTGGACGTAAAATCGGCCTTCCTCAACGGCGAGCTGGCGGAGACGGTCTTCGTCAGGCAACCTCCGGTTTTGCCGTCAAGGGAGCGGAGCACAGGGTGCTCCGACTGCGCAAGGCGCTCTACGGGCTGCGGCAGGCCCCATGAGCGTGGAACGCTTGACGCCACGCTGGACGAGCTTGGGTTCACGCGGTGCGCAACCGAGCACGAGCTCTACACGCGGCGACGGGGGAAGGAGGAGATCGTCGTTGGCGTGTATGTGGATGACTTGATCGTCACCGGCGTGCGTGCGGAGGACATCGATAGCTTCAAGCGCGAGATAGCGGCTCGTTTTTGAATGAGCGATCTCGGCGCGCTCTCCTACTACCTCGGCATCGAGGTGAGACAAGGGGAGGCGCTCACGCTCGGTTAGAGCACGTACGCCTCAAAGCTGTTGGAGCGGAGCGGCATGGCTGAGTGCAAGCCGTGCATGACTCCGATGGAGGAGCGACTAAAGCTGACGAAGGCCAGTACCGCGGCGAAGGTAGATGCAACACTCTACCGGAGTATCGTCGGTGGTCTGCGCTACCTAGTCCACACGAGGCCGGACATTGCGTTCGTCGTGGGCTACGTCAGTCGCTTCATGGAGGATCCCCGAGAGGATCACTAGGTTGTAGTGAAGCGGCTGTTGCGCTACGTCAAGGGGATGGTGGATCATGGGATCGTCTTCCCCAAGACCGACGAAAGTGGACTGCAGCTCACTGTGTTCAGCGATGCAGACATGGCGGGGGACATCGACAGACGGCGGAGCACCTCTGGCGTGCTCGTGTTCCTTGGGTCGGCTCCAATCTCATGGCTGTCGCTGAAACAGAAGGCGGTGGCGCTGTCTACATGCGAGGCAGAGTACGTAGCGGCGGTCACAGCGGCGTGTCAAGCTGTGTGGCTACGTCGGCTGCTGGGCGAGCTGACCGGTGTGGAAGCTCACCCACCAGCACTGATGGTGGACAACCAGTCCGCTATCGCCTTCGTAAAGAATCCGGTTCTCTACGACCGGAGCAAGCACATCGACATCAAGTTCCACTTCCTCTGGGACTGTGTCGATGGAGGGCAGATCGTCAGAGTTCGTCGAAACTGGTCGGCAACTCGCGGACGTCCTCACCAAGCCGTTCGGCCGTCTTCGGTTCATGGAGTTGAAAAAGATGATCGGCATGATGGAGGTTCTAGCGTTAGCAGCAGGATTAGGGGAAGAATTGTTAAGTAATCTGTTGCTCCCCTGTATGAACACATGGCAGGGACAGGCGTCGAAAGGCTCCACGTTGTTGCACTGTTGCAGGGGCAGACGTCGAAATGCTCCCCTGCCGCACTGTAGCCATAGTAGGGGCAGGCGTCAAAGTCAGCCCTGCTATCACATCTAGTCACTGTAGCAGCATGACAGCCTGACATGTCTGTGTACTAGGATTAGATGGGTAGAGCTGTATATATAGTTTCCCACTGTAACTCTAGTAAAGAGAGCGAGTTCAGTTTTGTTATCTCCTCTGCAGAGTTCTGGCCAATGCTGGTGCTTGTGCTATGTGTGCGCGCGCTATGTTCTCTCTGCTTTCTTCTACCTCTAGTCATAGTGAGTGGTCGGGAACACAGAGGGGTGGTTGGCTCACCCGTTCCGAAGATCCAGGGGTCAACAAATTCAACTGGGCTGGTATGCAGTGCAGCTGTGGAGCCTGGGTGATTCCAGCATTCCAGCTGACCAAAAGCAAGATCGACAAATGTTCAATGTAACACCAGGCAATTGGGTGAAGTTTTAATCCCTTAGCAGTGATGTTACAACATATATATGTAGCTAGGAAACAGTATCGTTTAGACATGTATAGGCACTCTGGCAGTTGGTTAAGTGGTTATCAGCTGTTTAATCTGCTGCTGATGTTGTCATCCTGAGCATCAGCACGTGGGTTTTGCAACAACTAAAAAAGCTGAAACTAGGAAGCATTAGGCGGGCCCTCAGTTTACTGATTTGTTTTGCCCTGCTACTTAGTTCTTTGGTGAATTCATATGATAAGGCAAATCTCTTGAGGTGATCTATTGTCCTGAGATGGGTATGATATGATAAATGTGATGAATGGGTCTATTTCCATGAGATGGATACTATAATTCTGATCTGCTGATAACTAGTTACGAGGTTGCCTTTCATACTGGTGCCCCGCTGTTGTAGTTACTCCAGGTGCTCGAAGCCAGCTATGGGATTGGAACGGAGCTTACTGTGTTGTTTGTTTTTTTTTTGTTTTTTTTATATAAGTGTAATTGTTCGTCTTGCATTTTTTTTCTTAAAAAAAGGCTAATACTTTGTACCTTTTTTTTCATATACTAATAAAACCTGGAGCAAAGTTTCTGCCATCCTTTCGAAAACAATCATCGTGCTGTCGTCAACCTAACATTTACTTTACAAAAGAAATGAGATTTCATCGGCCAATGGAACCCCATCCTTTCTTAACCGTTGCTGAATTTCATCATGATGCATAGGAAGAAAGGATTTTATGGGAGGC